TCACTCTTATCTCTTGGCCAAACATCCACCTGTCCCCCCCTCATATTGTCTTGTCCCTAGCTAGCGAGGATAAAAGAAAACCTACTCATCACCAAACCATCCTTTCTCAGCGCCTATCACTCCTTTCAAAATTTTCTTTAATCATTATTCCCCTAACTAATAAATTGTTTGAGATTCCTAAAGAATCTCATTTTCATTAGGTGAAAGAAAAAAAAATCATCACATCCTTTAAAACCTTTTCCCAATTTTCCCGCAGAAGATTGCCAAACACATTTGATTAAGCTTTTTTTTTTTCCCTGATTTTTCTGTTTATGGTAACTAAGGAAAACAATATGAGTGCCCATGTTACCTGATTATTTTCCTTCTGGGTTTCGATCTTTTTGGGATGTGTTTTAACGTCCCAAACTGAGTGCAGCCTCCACGTCTAGCCGCCATGCAAAACCCCCGCTGTCCATTCTCCAAACATCACATGGAACGGTTCTTGACCACTTCTCCTTCTGCCACGTGTACTGTATCATCACCCAGCATGAAAATGCCGCGCTCAAGTATGGAAGTCGCTCCCTTAACACCAACCATACCCTTATCTCCGGTGACCGACCGTCATTTCCTTCCGTCGCCGTCAGCATCCTCCTGTACGCCGTATTCACCCACTGCACTCTGTTTAAACCGTCAGATATGAACCCAGGACACGTGTCCGCCTCCAGATTCTTCATCCTGTCCATGTCCGTACACCCCAGCGCTCTTGCTTCCATGCATGTACTGTCCGTCACGATCTCCACCGTCACCCACGACTCCACTACCCCCCTTTTTACCATCGCCATCCGATCCGGACTTTGAACAGCACATGTATCATAAATCAAATGGTTATGACAGTTTAACCACACCGGCGGCTGTTGATGTATACTCTCTGCAATCACTGCACTAGTGTTAGTACCCACTGGACGATTGAGATCGCTCGCCGGCGTACTTAGTTCAGTTTTCTCAGGCAATAACTGCAAAGTGACTATCTTTTTTTCCTGTTCCGATGGTGTTCTTGTTGTCCTCCGCGTGTGACCAATATTTTTGCGAACCCTAACGTATTTTCTTTTAGATCTTGGCCTAGAAAGCAAAGAGATCTTGTCATCAACCAGGGACCCACCTGAACCTGAGTCTCCAGTCACCGGTTTCGGTGCTATCGGCCTGAACCTGAGCTGATTAATCACCGTTTTATCTTGTGCACATCTGCATCTCAACATCCGCCACTTCTCTCCAACATCCATGTCGGCAACAGTTAAAACGTCGGTAGTCGGCTCCACCACTTAAACCACCACCACAACAACAAAAGGCGATAGCGTTTTTCCCTCACTCTCACCTTAGCATTTTTCTCTCTCACTGAATTTTCAGGCTCTCTCTTTCTCAGGCAAATGTAATCAATAATAATAATCATAGCGACGAATTTACTTACAGGTTAGCACCACGTGTCTAGGTGCAACGCTGAAACAGTGGAGGAATATGATTGGACAAAAGTTACGCTGTGGGGCCCGCGTGAAAAGTGTGTTCGTACCTGCTGTGATTGAGCGTCGAGATGGGCCCACGTATACAAACCAACCAGATAAAGGAACATGTCCAGCAATTGCCGAAAGATGGGGAACACGTGGCCTTTTACCTCGGGAGAAGGGCTACCTGTTTAGTGAAGTGGGGAATTGGCAGAAAGCAGGTTCGAGAAAAACGCACACGTGGTCCGTTTCTATTAGCAAACGTTATCTAAATTCGCTTCCAACAGTTGAGATTTGAAAATTTACCACACCAATCAATCAATGCGCGTAAGCTACACGGCAAGTGATAAAGATAAATTTAAATAATTATAACGTATCATTAAATAAGTATGATATATTTTTTTTGACAAATTTATAAAAAATTGAATTCAAACTGTTGTTTAAAAAAAAAAAATACATTTTATGAATGGTTTAAAATCACTAAATCGAAAGCTTATTTTACAGATGACTTGAGATCATTGAACCAAAGACTTAAATACAAATAAGTATAATATATTATTAAATAAATTTTTAAATAAAAATTAATTATGTATATCATATTATAAAATTTATAATGATATATTATATATAGCAATGTAAATATATTATTTTTAAAAAGAAAAAAAAAAACTCCGAAAAAATTGGGTAAAGTGGTGTGCTGAGAGTGGGTGAGGAGATAAAAAGTGCAACGATGCATGACACTAGGAGAGTACGGTGGGGGACGCGTGGTTGGATAATTGGATGGAGATTGGAATTAGATAGGGACAAGTGGCGTCATTCTATCTTCAGTGGGGTTCCCGTTGATCGAACTGGGGGGGGGAGGGGTGTCTCCTGTTGGTGCCACGTGCTACTGTTTGAGTTCTTATCTGTCCAATTATCATCACAAATGACTTCATCTTATTGGTGCCTTTTGGGTTTCTAGTTGGGGGAAAATAACAGTAATAAATAAAAAATATGATCTATATATGGCATTGGGTAATGGGTTTGGTATGGCTATATATAGCAGTAAGAGCAATGCTAGGGGCACTCGCCTCCTGCACTCTCCGGCCAACACTTTCCCTTTTATTGGGCCACGTTGTTTTGGTTCCGAAGAGGTTGCGCCTGAAAGGTTTGGGAAGCTTACGTGGCCCAATGAAAGGGAAAGTGTTGGCTGGAGAGTGCAAAAAGCGAGTGCCCGTAGCACTGCTCTAGCAGTAATGGCCGGTTATTTATTTAATTTTTTTAAACAGTTTAAAATTTGAAGAATCCAGGGAGCCAAATATTGATTTAAGATTGAATTTTGTGTCTTTACATAATTTACAAAAGGAAAAAGTGCCTTCTTATAAAATGAATTATTAATTTGTCTCGTATAATCTTAAAGATTTTATTAATTTTATAAATTTTAAATTAATAAATTTTAAATGTACTAAATGAATGCAAATTAGACTTGCAAAAGATGAATATATCTTAATTAAAATTGGCATGTTCAAAGCCAAAATAACCTACGTTTATAAATAGATTTACAAATTAACCTACCATAAAACTAAAAATTTAAAACTAATTAATCATAAAATATGTACAAACAAAGATTAAACTAATGTAGAAAATAAAACATGAAAGAAGCATGAACACCATATAAATAATTATTTGAAAAAAAAAAACACTACTCACCATACACTTAAAACAAACAATGATAAAAAAAGGAATAGTACTTTGTAAAAATTAAAATACTTATTGTCCATTCCATGAGATGTAGTTGTAAAAGCAAATACATGAACTAATTTAATTATTTGAATACAAGAAACAAACTAGAATCTACGAAGTACCATGTTGAAGATGAAATCTAAAAGCTAAAGAGAGTAATCTTTATGGAACTAGAAAATTAAAAATTTAACAAGTTATGTATAGAGCTAAATGTATGTTGAATAATTTGAAAACTTTCTTTTTATAAACATTTTGTAAACTGTTCTCTCACTTCACCCGCTAGCTGTTACAGAATATGAATAATTTCTTCAAAAAAATAAGACACATTAGTAGGACTATATCAAGACTGCATTAGATCTTGTCATCTGTACTATTTTACTGCTTCCTCAACCCCTCAACTACATTTCCTCCTAAATTATAAAAAAATTTGTTTCTTTTCAATTTAAACATTTTGCCTCCTAAATTAAAAATATAAGTGATCTAAATCTCAACTAATAAATCTGATGTGGCCTTATCTTATTCATAAACATATGAATAGCAAGCAATTAACTACTCTTATGAATAATTTTAATAATCATCGTAAATGGCAATTGACATAGCATGTGTGTTTCCAATGCCTCTGTAGTAGTAATTAAGCTTCTATATATTATTTAAAAGTTATTTTAACATGTATTTTTAATACACAAGTTAAGAAAGATAATTAATATATTTTTTATAATTAACTTATATAAAAATAGTAAATCTTAATTTTAATTATATTAAAATAAAAATTAATTATAAAAAATTATTCACATATTAATGATATTAAAATAAAAATTAATTTTAAATATTTTAATATAAATTAATTAAAATTATTTACATATTAATAATATTAAGATAAACATCAACTTTAAAATTTTTTTTATATATATTAATTTTAAAAAATATATTTATTATAATTTTAAGTAATACTCTAAAGATAGACACAAACTCATTATTCAAAACGCCCAAAAAAAGGAAAAAAGAAAAAAAGAAGAGAGCTTATATCATTCATAAAATTGTACAACATCAATCAACTAGATACGAAAGCCAAAGTCGTTTTCAAAACATCATTTTTTTCACATTAGACATTTTTTTTTACAAGAGTTTACGCAAGGGTAGGTACACAAAAGTCACAAACTTTAATTATCGCCACCATACTTAGTTTCCTTTTCAGAAGCACTAATATACATTTTGCATCTGCGGCCGCCCACCCTACCCAACTAACATTCACACACAACTCTTAAGTGCCCTATATTGCCTATTATACTAGCTAAGAAGTGCTTAATTATTCCACCAATACAACTTTGCCTTTGGTACATAATCCTCAGCAAAATGTGTCCGGTGTCCCCTTCAGTCTTTTCTTCAAACCCTTGCGGCCTTGCGTGTTGAAATAACCCCATTTTCAATTAATTAATTTATACCTTTAATTACACAACCTTCCTTCGTATTTTGCTTTTCATTCCTTAATTTATTTCTATCTGCCAATACTACAGATTAACCCACAAATTTGGCCTTAAACTTATGAGCAATTCAGATTTTCAGACGACAGACAGAGTCTTGCCTTTTTAGAGATCATTATTGTTACGCAAACTATCTTGGAAGCTTACCTGGATTTATCGAAACATTAATCACCATTGATGCGTACGCTGTTTCTCTGTTTTTAGATGCCCAAACTCAGAGCTGCTTTTACATCCAGCCGCCATGCATACCCGCCGCTATCCATTCTCCACACATCGCACGGAACCATCTTCGTGTACTTGTCCTTCCGCCACGTATATTGCACTCCAACGTGGCATGAAAAGGCCCGGTACAGGTACTGGGTATACGGTAATAGTCTTTCCTTCATCACCAGCGACACCACCGCATCTGGCGGCTGCCCTCCGCCGTCTTGTTGAGTCCCCGTCACCATCCTTTTGTATGCCTCGTTCACCCACACCACCCTGTTTGAACCGTCGGATATGAAACCTGGACACGTGTCCCTCTCCAGATTCTTCATTTTCTCCACGTCCGTACGCCCCAAGGCTCCATCATCCATGCATGTGTCTGTGACGCTCTCGACCGTCACCCACGACTCCACTACCGTCCGATCTGCCACCCTAGTCCCCGCCACCTCATCAGTGACCGGTATATTTGTCTTCAAGCTCAAGTTCATGGGTTGTTCCAGATCTCCTGGAACACTGGAAACTCCAGCCGTTCCATCTAGATCAGCTTTCTCCGGCATCAACGGTAGTATCGTTTCTTTGTTGGTTGGACCATCTCCGGTTCCTTGATCAGAGACTCTTTTACTAATCTTCTTTCCACTGTTCCTGCAATTTTTCGAAACTCTAACGTACTTTCTCTTCTTTCTTCTGCTACTAACAATTGAGTTCTTATAACCACCGAGTGACTCACCTGAGGCTGAGTCGCCGGTGACTGGTTTTGGCGCAATCGGCCGGAATCTGAGCATTATTCTGTTGATTATCGTCTTGTCCTGCATATCCCCGGCGCATTTAAACATCTACCACTGGTCTCCCCCGTCCATCCTCTGCCTCCAAGCTACCAAACCCGCAGCGCTGTCTCTTAATTTCTTTCTTCTCTCTCTAGACCCTAGAGTCTCTACACCGGAGCTGAGAGGCGATTATCATAGCTGCAGCATCGTGGCGGAATTACTGAAGCAACACGTGTCTAAGGGCAGGCATTGGAACAGCGATGGGACGCGATTGGTTGATTAAAATTTTCGTGGGTTGGCCCTGCGAGAAAAGTTGCCAATTTTGGCGTATCCAGGCCTGTGATTGGCCCCATGCTCTTAACCAATTAGAGAAGCCGACGCGTCCAAAGGTCCTCAAAAGTAGGCTACACGTGGCCGTACCTCGGGGAAGTCATAAATGTTCCGTTTAAGTGGATGAACTTTTGGAGGGTAATTTAGAACTTTAACCTTAGGTTCCAGATTATGCACACCTGTTGTCTCTTATTTATTTATTTATTTTATAAATTTTTTGATATTTAAAAGTTATATTAAATTTGATTAATTTAAAATTAAATTATATTCGATTTTTTAAACAATAAAAGTTCTTTTAATATTTAATTTTTTATTTATAAAATTTAAATTTAAGATATTTTTTAAAAAAAATTGAGTTATTTTTATTTAAATTAACATGTTATTCCTTGTTTGTTTCGAACAGGTAACTGACTACATCAGGACAACTATGGTCGTCCTACATTCTTACTTGCTATTTAAGGTCGTGAGGAACAATTAATTGTTTTTTTATTCAAATATAATTTTTAAATCAGTGTTTGAAAAATATAATAAATATTAAATAATATTTTTTTATTTCTTATAAACTTATGATGGAAAAATAATCAATATAGGACCCTTAAGAATTGAATCCAATATTTCTTTTTCACCTGCCCCATCTTCTAAGACTGTGCAGGTTTCTACATTTCTGGTCTTCTCCAAACCAAAGGAGTGTTTATTTTAAATTTAATTCTGATGTTAATGGTTCTAATGTGGCGGGCAGAGATGGCAGTGACCTCTTGGTTGATGATGGTATTGCTCTTTAATTATTCAAGTTGTGTAGTCGGTCCTAATAAAAGGCAGAACACAGTAGCAATGGGCAATGGCAAAAACCCTTTTTTTTTTTAGTTTTTTATTTTAATAAATTTATATGTTTTAACATCTTATCTTATATTATAATATTTTTAATTTTTCACTTTTATAAATTAAAAAAAATTTATTTAATGTCAAGTTATAACATTTATTAATTAACTGTTAATATTCTGTTAATTTTATTCTTATCATCATTAATAGTTTATTAATTAATTATTAACAAAATATTAATAATCAATTGATAAATATTATAACCACACATTTAGTAAAAATTATTTTTTTCAATTTATATAAATTAAGTTAAGGGGTTAAATTATATAAATTTATTAAAATAAAAAGCGCATTTAACCAATGGGCAATTGCAGGGGTTGTGTGGTTGCACGCGCATGAGTTTGGTGAGTGGGTTTGGTGAGAACTCCTGGAGGTTGATAATTGTACTAGGAGGACGCGTGGATGGTGG